TAAACCATCTGTATCATGTCGATTTTTTAATTTTCAAAAATAAAAAATAGATGTTCCAATATTTTGAATTAGAAAAAACTAATAAATAATTTAATTATAATGAAAATTTTAATTTATCAATTCCACCTCAATTATTAATTTGATCTTTCAGATTTAATTTTTATCTATTTAATTTTTAAGTTTATTTAAATTATCGATTTGGATTTTGTTGTTTAAATTTAAGGTATAACTATTCAAATTCATTGCCCTAGGAAATAGAATATCAATTAGTTGTCGTATAAATTAATGAAAAAATTGATTATTTATGTAAAAAAATATAATCAGAACTTTTAAAACAAAAAATAAAGCACAATGCAAAGAAATAAATTGATAAAAATTGAATGAGAAATGCTTAGATAGATCGGATGTATCACATTATTTATAATCTATCTAATAAAAATATAACATTTAGATGACTTAAATATAAATTAATTTTAATATTAATAATAATGGAAAGAAAACGTAAAAAATTAAATATGTATTCTGTTATAAAAATAAAATTATTTAAAAAAATATCACACAAAATTTTATTTAAATTACTTGGAGTGTTTAAATTGGACAAATCACAAATGACATGATGTACCTAATTTATTTAAGTATTTCTCAACTTATATTGATTTTAAGAATTAATTTGTTGTCACCTATATAATTATATACATGTGTGTATCAAGTTATCTATTTATTATATTAATTTAAAACATAATTTATATCTTAAAATGTAAAAAACTAACAATATAATTTATAAAAATGTAAAAAAAAAACAAAGGAAAATTAACCTCAGAAATTAAATCAATATAGAGTTTAAAGTTTAATATCTCTCAGTTAGTGTACTAATAAAGAATGACGGCCGAAGAGCATGATTCTTCTGACAAAAGAAGAGGATGAGCACTGGAGGAGCATGCTTCTGGCCTTCTACAGCATGATACTAATCAGGCGGAGTACGTACAATTTTTTTTTTTTTTCAAGGATCAAGCCTTCAATAAACAAAACAAATATGGCTAATTACACTTAACAACTCCAGTGGGGCTACTTACTAACTATTACTAAATAATAAAATTAACGATATCATAGATATTATATATATCGATTTTTTTTTTTAAAGCAAGAAAAAGGTTGCTTGTTTCCTGATACCTGATGTTAACCAAGCAAAAAAGAGCCAAGTGGCAAAGTCAAGAATGTTAATAGAAAGACGTTTCATTTGATTATGAGTCAAAGAGAAGAAGAAGGACAGCTGAAAAGTGAAAAGGTATGGCATAGAAAGAGGAAGGAAAAAAAGTGCCCGTTTGCGCTGAAACACAAACAACAACTAGTCCCCCTCTTACTTGCACACAATTTCACAATTGAAATTTAAAGTCTAGATCTACCATTTCCCGATTGAAAATGAAGCGAGTGGATGCAGATTTTAATTTAGACATATGGATCTTGGGATCTACCACAGAAGAAGATCTAGAAGCAGAGAAGAACAACGGAGACAGATACCATGAAACCGTAGATCAAGATCAAGAAGCCGAAATGGAGAGCCCAATTCCTCTTGAACTTGCCAAAATAGCTCTCTGGAGGTTCCTGGTAGTGAATCTCAAACTCTTCGTCCCCGACTCCGTCGTATTCATTCCCGCTCTGCAGCTTCATCTTCATCTCCCTCAGCTTCTCCGTGGCTAAGCCCAGGGTGAGCTTGTGGCATCGGCGCTGGTACTTGAAGGCGTTAATGCAGCGGAGGGTCTGGGCGACGGAGACGTAGAAGATGAGGGAGGCGAGGGAGAGGAGGGAGATAGGGATCCAGCAATGGCGGCACTGGAGGCGAGAGGAATTGGAGAGGGCCAGGAAGACGAGGCTGAGGAAGACGAAGAAAATCTGAAAGAGCTTGTGAAGCTCCTTCTTCTGGAGGTCAATGGCACGCTTCTTCTCCAGAGTCTTCTCGAAGTGAAGCTGGATTATGGTGTTGAGGGCTTGCAATGCCGTCTCCTTCTGGTGATGGTGGCCTTCGTAGTCCGCCATGGATGAAGGAACGAAGGATCCGCAGCCGCAAGCAAGCAGAAGAACGTTGGGGATTTTCGGATATGGAGCTGTGAATGAATTAAACAAAAATGGTATAATAGGACAAGCAAAGGCAGTGAATCAGAAGCGGTGAAAGATTTAAAAATGAAGAATGAATGAATGACTGAGTAAAAAGCTTGGTTTAGTTCGGATTGGATTGGAGAGAGAGGGAGAGATACACAGAGAGCTACTCGAATCTCAATGTGATTCACTAGTGTGAATAAAATCCAACGGTGAGGAGAGCGGAAGAGTAATGAGGGTGAAACGGCCTTTTTACGGACATATTGAATATCAGGCTAATCATTAAATCAGTCGAACCCTAATCAGACCAGTTATAAATAAATAATTTTATTAAATCGATTAAAATATTAACTAACAGTTTATTAGTTTAATTGGACACTTTGATCTATATTTCCATGGTATATTTTTTACATATTAGAGATGGGGAGGTGTTGGAATTGGAGCAAATTAGAGATGAGAGAGGGAGGAAGATGGTCTAAGTATTTTTAAATGTGTTATGTTATCATGTTATGTGTGCATTAGACATCAATGTTAGTGTTGTTTGTTGTGATTGAGACTTCACATTTTAGATCCAAAGCTTGTGCAAGTAATCTCATGCTATCAATTATTCTACAATTTCACTAACATGGTCATACTTATACCTTAGTTTTTTTTTTTCCTTTTTTTTATACAAATAACATTTTTAAATTTTGAGTTATGTATAAATAACCCTTAAATCCAAATCATGTACTAACAAATCCATGTTATACTTTTTTTTCCGATGAAATGATAAAAAAATTACTTCCTCCGAACTACAACATACTCCCTCCATCACATAATATAAATTATAGTTAATTAATTTATAATTTATGAATAATATTGGTTAAAATTTTAAATTTTTAAAAATATTCATATCTTTTTATTTATACCTTTATTAAATACCCTATATAAGAGTCTTGATAATAATAATTAAAATTTTAATGCATTATTTTTTAAAAAAGAGTAATAAATGAAATAGAGATATAGTTAAAAAAACAAATATAAAAGTTATTTAATGTCATATATTTTGAATTAGGTAAGATTCTAGAAAATGCTGTATACTATGCTTTGGATAAAATAAGCCTTTGTTAATTAATTTGTGTTTTTCAAAAGTTTCTTGATTTTTAAATTTATTTTATATATTTCCAATCATATTTTAAATTGAATAAATATAACATTTAGCTTATTTATAACATCCCAATCAATTATTTAAGTGAAATATAATAAAATAAAGGTATGATTAGAAGTGTGTGTATGCACACTCAGAGCGCACATATATAACTCACACAATTAAGACGAACTTCAAGGTAACGAGAGAGTAACAATAAAAGACTAAATGTAAAACAGTGAGGAAGTTTAAGGTTTTTTTTTTTTTCGTTTTGGGACAAAAAAAAGTAAGAAAGTTTATTGTACAGGAAAAAGGAAAAGTTCATATTATTCTCCCTAGGTATATTCAATTACTCTATCGTTGAATATTTAAATTTTTAATTTAAATTTAATAAAATAATTTAAATTTAAAAAATATAAAATATTTTTAATTTAAATTTTATTTTAATAAAATAATTACCTATTTTTAAATTAACTCTATCTTTTTATATTTATCTTTATTAAATATTTTATAATAAATATAAAATTACTATTAATAAAAATAATTTTAAAAAAAATAATAATTATAGACTAAAAAAATTTTATATTTTTTAATATTTTATTTTTTAAAAAATGTATTATATTTTTAAATGAAGTGAGAATGTATTCCCTATCCTATCCTTCTCTTTCATAGGATTGGATTATACCTCTTCTCAACAGGAGATGTTTTACTTTTCTATTTAAAGGTAAATATATTAATAATAAAAGAAAGTTGACAGAAACATTAAAAACAAAAAAAAAGTAAACAAGATAAGATGAGTCATGTGAACCACATTTATGAACAATCTAACTGTTGAAGTTTTTCAAAAAAATTCGTAACGTCCTGATTTATAAGATGTCAGTTAAAATAGAAGCAAACTCCCTTATCGCATCTGATTCTCAAATTCTACAAGTTTGTGTGCCTTCCAAATCAATTGAAAGAGAAATTCTAGATCTAGAACAATATGCTGTGAACACATAAAACCAAGAAGAGATGTGGAGAAATAACATCAGATTTACTGAGAAGTGATTTAATTCAACCTTCAATGTTGAGAGAGAAAGAAACAACACAATAAGATTTTTTTTTTCTTTTCTTAAAAACAGGTGTCTGGATTTTTCAATTGATAATAAGAGCTTGATTTTGGGAGCAAAAGATAGAAATTCCTTTAGAAGTTCCAAGATCATTACTTTTTCCCAGATGCTGGCTGTTATCCCATAAGTTCTAAAAGGATGTTTTACTTTTGTTCTCTACGTTTCCGTATGTTAATATTGTATATCTTTAAATATATATATATATATATATATATATATATATAATATTGCTTATTATAATAAAAAAAAGAAAGTTTATGGTAAAGTTTGTGAAAATGTCATCTTGTTTTTTTTAATAGGAGATGAAATCAATTGTGAAAATGTTTATCTGCACAGTCTGATTTTTTAAAAAAAAAAATAATTGCTGATTATAGTAGCCTTGTCTTTTTTTTTTTTTTTGACCAAATTTATAATAGCCTTGTCGAAATCATAGGAGCTCTTTACTTTTCCTTTATAAATATTCGTGACACAATAAATTCCATTGACAATGTCAATGAAACATTCAAGTATTATAGTAGTACTATATTATTATGATTGCTTCACAATGTAAGGGGCAGCCTCAGAAATCATATAATATACAACTAATATATAAATTCATGTTCTGTCACATCCCAATCATTGAAAAGGCTTCCAGCGACCATAAAATTACCCAATTTAATGAACAAGATGGCTTACAGTGACAACACAATTACATTATTACGTACACACACAATGTGGAAAATAGACTTTTAGGTGACTAAACAAAGATTACACCCAAAATCTCCGATCTTTCTGAAAGGAAAAGAAAAGGGGGGAAAAAGAAAAAAAGGGAATGAAGCTTGTTGCGCCTTCATCAGCTGCCTTGATTTTAACTTTAAGCATGGACTGATTAGCGCAGCGATCAACGAAGGCTGGTGGCCCACCACAGAGATTCTGCAAATATAGAACAAGACCTGAATATCAGTTTGTCTTAATAACCAACTTTCAGTCATTAAAAATTTGATCGATCGTTGATTTATATTCTAATGCTGATGTGAAGATTTTTTTTTTTTTAATGAGCAATCTATAAATGCCTCAATAAATACTTACAGAAATATGTTTAGGTCTTGGTAACACTTTGGAACCCAATTAACATAAACTTTCTTTTATTAAAAATAATTTGTCTAGGGTCATTGATGGAGCTGCGGTGCCAGCAAAATACTAACGTGGATGCGCATTCCAAGTTCAGTGCATCAAACTGACGCATCAATGTTATAACCACCACCTCCACCCTGTCTCCATCAGCACACATTGGCAAGGGGCACGGGGGTAGAGTCCGGAAGACTGGTCGGGCTTATTTAGACTTGGCTTGAATAGGCCTGAATCCGAACATGCCTGTATCCTCAAAAAGCTCGAATAACTAAGCCCGACCTGAATTTTTTCAGGCTTCAGGCGGTCCGAATATCCAAATTTAATTTTTAAAATTATTTTTAATTATTTTTTTCACTTTGAAATTAATTATTTTATTTTATAAAAAATATAAAATATATTTTTTAAATACTTAAATGATATCTAGGACTCAAATATATGATATTTTAGTATAAAATGATCTAAAATTTAAAGAATTAATTAATATTTATTATATTTTATATATTTTTTAAAAATATAATTTTTTTATTCGGGTATTCGGGCCCGATCGGGCTTGGACCGAATTTTTTCGGGCCTATTCAGGCCGGCCTGGATAGGCCCGAACATAAAAAAAATTCTTTTTTTAAGTTCGGTCTTAAAATTTTTTGGGCTAGCCTGAATTACTGGCTTTATACGGGGGTTACAAAATTCAAGGATTTAAATACTGCATCAAACAACACACCCTCTGACTTTATTTCAACCCCAGACATCTCTCTATCGGCACGCGTGCTTCAAAATTTAAATAACTTAAATTATAGGAGTAGTAATAAGATGTAATGATATTTAACTAATTGTAGGTGAAAAAAAAAGTGACATTTAACGAAAATATATTGGCACTCCCTCTACTTGCAATTTTTTCATTAACAAAATGTAAAATAGTTTTAAAATAATTAGTTCTTCATTAAAATTTTGTAGTGTATATATATATTTTGGGTGTTTTTTTTTTGGGGGGGGGGGGGCTAGGGGGGAATAAAACTCTAAAAGTTGAGAGCAGAGAGCGCATATTCAAGAAAAACCAGAGAAGATTCGCTGATGTACCAAACAAAAACACTGCCATGAGATGGGTGGTATCAGATTTAGAGCAAGTTTCACTAAAACAGGGTCTCTTATCTCTCTTCAAACCATGCTTCATGAGTATTGGGCACCCCCACTTCGTCCATCATTCTGATCCTTCTTCTCTGTCAGATGAGGACGGAGACTGACCCTCCATAAGATGTATTGGTAGCTCCTCGGGTTTCAGTTGATCCTTATCAGAACTGGCTGAATCCTCCACCGTCTCATTAGGCTTTTCACTATTATACAGAGCATCAAGCTGTTGAAAATAAGGACATGTTTTAGAACTCTGAGGCTTTTTCTGGTTTTTCTTCTTCATCCTCTTGAAGTATTTGTTCATATTCTCCCATTTCTCTTTGCATCTCCTGGCACTCCGATCGTACCCAAGTTTTTTCATTGAACAAGATATCTCCTCCCATATAGGAATAGATCCTTTAAGCCCATTTCCTTCATTCTCCACATCAAAGTTTGTCCTCAATCTAATCAATGCTTCCACTTCATCTTTGGGCCATCGTGAGGAAGATGGACTCGTCAGTGTGAAATTCCCACCATTTCTACAGTCTTGCTTTTCAACAGCACTACTACCAGCATTATCATTTTCTTGCTCGTCCTTATCTATATCAACAGGAAGTAGGTTCTCGGGTAATTCTGTGGATCCTGTATGTCCTGCGAACTTCCTCAGAAGGGCAAGCACTGCAGCATCTTTTGCCGCAGCAATTGATCTTTCTTCAGCCAAAAGCTCTCGCTCCCTCTTAATCCTAGCTAATTCTTGCGTCTTCCATGCTTCCTCTCTTGCCATTCTATCTTGTTCACATTTGAGCAAAATCTCCATAAAGTTTTTCTGAAGCTTCGTTTGCTTCTCTAGTACTTTGTTCATCAACCTTTCAAAATATTGGGTCAGTTTCCTCTTCTTCCGAATATTTTCCTCTGATTCTTCGCTCGAAGAGGGAGTGGTTGAACCAGAGGGGACACCAGAGAATCGAATGAAATGTGGAATCAAATCTTGAATAACATTCGACAAATCTATAGGGGTTGTAGTTGTTGCTATGTTTTCCGTTTGATCCTCATTCTTTTCAGGGTAAGGATGTGGAATTGCACCTTGAATAATAACATCAGACAAATCCATTGGGGTTGTGGTTATTTCTGTGTTTCTCACTTGTTCTTCATACTTTTCAGGGTATGGAGAGTTCATAAGGGGTTCTAACAGGTCAAAGAATCGGTAAGTCTTGCCACTGGGTCGGCCATAACGACCTTCCTTGGTCCTTCTGTAGTATTTGTACACGTTTTCAAACTTCTCCTGGCATTTCTTAGCACTTCTATTATATCCTAGCTCCCTAGTCTCCTGAACAGTTTCAAAATCAATCATTACATTTTAAATAAAAATTCTAAACCATCACAAAAAAAATAGACCAGTTTCAAAGAGTAACAGTCAGTGGGAAAACTGGAATTCGATGGGGGTCTACAGAGAAAAAAGACCATGCTTCTAGTGCTGAAGAAAACAGAAGATTTTCACCAAAAAAAAAAAAAACGGAAGATCAGTTAGGATGTAAGTTCCAAAGGAAATTTACACTGCAATTCACATTTCGCAAAATAAACTTGAAGAGTGCAAAACTACTTATGTAAATATATTTTAATAAAAGGATATATAAAAATCATACAATACAAGAAGCATTCTCTCAAAAGTCAAAACCATAATTTTTATGAGGCTGAAATGTTGCAGCATTCTCTGGGGACTTTTATCGAACAGGAGCAATGAATGGAAAATAACTGACCTGGAAACTTGTTCCCAGAGATGAACTTTGGGGAACGTATCCCTGAAAGCAGCGTCCATATCAGACCTTATCTTGAGCAAAGCCTTAGTCTCCTCTGGAGGCCACCGACCACCGGTGATGTTCCGGTCAACATCTCCGGCCGAGACTGTTACCTGCTCGTCTTGGCATCCATCAGAGACAGGCTCACCACCATCCTCCTCCGTGTGGCTCCGGTATTGAATGGAGTGTTCAGGGAAAATCGAATTCTCTGGCATCCGTTTCACCGGATTACAGCGGCGATGAATTATGGGGGAGTAAAAGGCTGAGTGAATCGCCGAATGGGAACAAAAGAAGTGATTTTGACGGTTCTGAGGTGAGAACTCGAGGGATTTAACGTTGTACCTCGGGTTCATAAAAATAAATAAATTTTTTCATAAATTTTTTAAATTTTTAATAAAAAAATATATTTTCTCCAATTTAAATTATAGAATATTTATAAAATTATATTCTTAGTTAAAAAATATAAAATATTTTTAATTAAATTTTATCCTTCAATAAAATAGTTACTATTTTTAAATTAATTTTATTTTTTTATATTTATTTCTATTAAACATCTTATAATAAATATAAAGTCATTAAGATACTTAAAAAAAAAAAGATAATAATTACATCTTAAAAAACTAAAAATATCTTATATTTTTTAATATTAAATTTTTTAAAAAATACCTTACATTTTTAAATGGAGGAAGTATGTATCATTAAAATTTATTAAACACAATTTATAAATTTATTTTTTAAAAATACCCTATAGTCAATATTCTTCTTAAAAAAATATAATAAAAAAATAATATTGAAAACCATTGTTAAATAAAAAATAATATTAAAAACCATTGTTAACGAAGCATTATTTTTGTAAAAATATTTTATATTTTAAGATGTTGAATCTTTTTAAAAAATATTTTATAATTTGATATAAAAAGAATACTAATGAGAGTTAGAATTACGTAAATATTGTAAATTGAGTACATTTTTCATTTTTAATAGTCACTCAGTAGAAATTTAAATTATAATGATCAAAATCCACATCTAGATCTTTAATTTTGTGCAAAATTTTATTTTAATTTTTTAATTTTATAGAATACGTATTAAATTTTTAATTCTAATATCGTTATTTTATTAAGAATAAATTCTCAAATTAAATTTTTAAATATTAATATGTTAAGTTCAATTTTTTAAAATAAAAATGATTAAAAAAATAATTATTTAAAATTAATAATATTAAAATTAAAGAACTTAAAAAATACGTTATAAAATTCAATAATTAAACTCATATTTTACATAAAGTTAAAAAAAATAAAAAATAGGTCAATTATAATATATTTTTAACTTAGTCACACCATCTACATTGCTCCTTTTATATCTACTATTTTTAACCGGCGAGTTGTAGGCTGGCATTGTGTGCCGGTTGAAAAAGCCCAGATTCCACTAGTAAGCTAAAATTTTCTAATGGTCATATTTAGCAATCTTGTACTTAAGGTCAGTTTAGATTTTAGTTAGGCATCATTAATTATAAAAATATTAATTAAATATTTAATTATAATTATAATTAATTATATTATAATATAATATATTTGAATACTATTTTTTTAAAATTAATTTTAATATAATTGAAGATATTTAAATAATTTATTCAAAATTAATTTTAGCTATATAAATTAACATAAAGGATGTTTTTTTTTAAAATTAAATTATTTATAAATTTTTTTTAATATTATTAAATTTGTTAAATTTTATTTAAGAAGTAAAATATATTATTTAAATTATATATCTAATTAATTATAAAAATTTAAATTATATTAATATTAACAATTTAATTTTCTTAAATAAATAACTCAACATATCTTAGTTCAAATACATTTAATAAAAGAGAAAGATTTAATTCTTAAATACCAAACATGAATTTTACAATAACTAATAAAAATGATAATATATAAATTGATCCCTAATGATATCATGGATATGAGTCATATTTGACGAAGATGTTAAGCATTACCTTAAAATTTTGGCGATATAAAAAAATGTAGCAATATAACAAATGACACAAAATCTCTCTCTCTCTCCCTCTCTGTATATCTTTGCAACAATCTTTACAATGATCTTAAATTTTAAATTAAATTAAATTAATTTTCTCCATCAATTAATACTTTATTTGAATTAATTTTATAGTAATGTTAAGTGAAGGGTGGTAGTTGACAATAACTTATGCTAACAATTTGTTTAAAAATCTAAAATTTGAATTTTACTAAAAAAAAAGAAAAAAGAGAAGAGAATTTGATTTTATTTTTATTAAATTTTGTATTTTTTTTATAATTTTTTCTTGAGCTTTTCTTTAAAATTTTTTTCAATCTTTTTGATCAGCTTTTCCATAGAAGATCACATATACAGCTTAGGAAAAATAAATCGGTTCTTTCCCAACAATCGATTAACTGAAAAAGATGATGTTTGGGTATTTTTTTTGATTAATCGATTTTTTAACTGAAAAAATTGATTATTTTCGTAACGAAACAGGCACTTAGCATGTTAAGTTGTCTTCCGTCAGCTTGCTTATGTGTCTATAGATCACGAATTCATGGGTGATAATCTATATATGCACTAACTTTTTTTAATAAAAATATTTGACTTTTTCTAAAACAAATTAATTTCTTTTATTTCTAACTCATTCTCTCTGTATATGAATGATGCGTCTGTTGTGAATAACAATCGGAGTCTGTTCATGATTCTAACTCATCTATTCTCTCAATTCAAAAGACGTAATGAATAAAGAAAAAACTGGCAAATTATACTTACCATGTAAAGAAAGAGTAATTTTGTTTATTTTTATCTTTTAATTCATTCTATTCTATCATTTCCAGTCCAACAACCAAAAGGCTTCACAGTTATGCTTGGCTAATTAAAATCTCCTCAGCCGTAGAATTCATGCAGATGTAAGAGGCCAGACATCATAATATTCTCATCACTCATCAGTCAAATAATTTTTATTTTGAAAAAGAAAAATACTTCACAGATCAAATAACTAAGAGTTGTGATCTTGAAATCTCTCCAGTACAAAGATATTGCCTTTGTCATCCCTCCCTATCCTCATCGCGTCATCCACATATCTATCTCATGGATGATAGCAAGAAACAAACATACCCAGAAGAACCAATCTCAATGTCAACCAAATTTACTTTATTTTCATTTCAATAAAATTAAAAAAAATAAAGCGATTCTATTTTTTTAGAAGGGAATGACTTTTAGGTTCAAAATTTTTTGCTAAAAAATAAGTTGTAAATATTAGTTCATATTGTTATAAGTATTAGAATCACAGTATTTAAAACCAAGTCAATCCAACTAGTTGAACTGGTAAACAATTAGTAACTTGACTGGTTTAATGAAATGCTATGTTAATAACCATTGATCAGTCTGACTATCACTGACCATTAATTGAATTAATGTTTTAGCTTGATTAGATTTCTGAATGCAAGCATGGGACCTAAATGTCATTTCCCTAATAAAGAATCTAAATTCATGTAAAGCATACGAGAAAACAAAGGCAATGTTAGAATTATGTTGAATAATGTGTTAGGATACGTGATCTCCAGCCATCCCTCTGGATTGAAGATGCTCAACAAAACATCATAGTTCTTCCGAACACATTCATTAACTGTTCATTCAAAACAGTCAATAACCAATTAACAGGAAAACCCATGCTCAATATTTATTAAGTATCATGTCAACCAAACATGTCCTGTAATGTGACTTCTTACCTGGTCAGGAGTGATTGTGGAGTTTTCAAAATTTATCAGAACTCTCTGTGAATCACCATAACATGAATCAAATCAAAATCAAAATGTCAGTAATATCATCAGCTAAATTAATAATAAATAGTAGTTTCCAAATCACAACAATCACAAAAAGGAAAAGTGAAGTGAGGAAGCTTTAACTGTCGAGGAGGCAATCTTGAAAGAGGACTCAATACTAAATTGTCCATTCAACAACTCAACCCCTTTGCACTGAACTTGATCACATTCACTGCTTTGCTCTTCAATTTTGCAATCACCAATGTTCATCTTTGGTTAAATAAATAAAAACTAAACCAGATGCTTACAGTTATATGGATTCATTAAAGAGAAAAATTCCTGATATATATATATATATATATATACCTCAGCTACATCAATAATCTGGAAAAAATCATCCAACGAGATGAAGTCCCTGAGACCTAACTTTGTTCTCTTGGAGCCCAGAATTGAGATTGTGCTGTAAACAATCTCCAGCAACCACCCATCTTCCAAATATTATAAAACAATTATAACCCTGTGACTGACAATGTCAATCAAGACTGGAAATTGAATTCATTCACCTTGTCCAGATTGAGAGTAGGATCTGGGGTTGGATTCAGAGATTCCAGCTGCTTCACCACCAGTTTCAATTTCAGATTTCTTGGAAGAAGTGAGTCCGAAAATTCCCCTATTAATCCTTGAAATATGCCTCAATCATATTTCATTATTTCTACATTCTCCTTCGTTTTCCAGTCCATGGAAGCAAATGATAAGCATCATATTAACAGAGAACAAGAATAATCCAAGTGAGTATATAGTACCTTGCACAGCTTCGTAAAGTGCAGTTTTGCCGCAGGAAAGTGCTTCATCACCTAGCAAGCCAGAGTTCTGTTTTGCAACTTTTGTGATAGTGATGAGTCTGAATCAGAAGGGGTCTCCACAAATCTTGATGAGGTGTTTGGTTTTGAACGAGGGCCTGGGGAGACATATCCTTGGAGCTTGGTGATATTCATGGTTCTGAAGATGAGAGGGCTGAGACGGGAATCAGCCATTGATGGGTGAAGTAGCTTAGTGGCCATTGAACAAACAGCTTCGACTCTGGGGATTGCGAATTTGGAACATGTCGATAGTTTGAATGCAAACACTTAAGTTTGATGTTGTGGATAAGGCCACAAGACTTGTGCTTGAGATTTTGCCCAGTCATTATTGTGGGGGATGAGAGAGACAGTTCCTGTGACACTTCAGCAATTAATTGCTCGCTTCAAAAACCGCATATTTCGACAATAAAATGTAAGAATCTAAAATTAAATTTAAATGTAATCTTGTTTTGTCAAAAAAAAAATGTAATCTTGCTAAATAATAAATTAATAAGCAATGTTAAGCAGCCGAGTGAATTGGTAACATTAGCCTTCTTTCCTTCAAACAGATTTTCAGGCCTAAAAACGTTTTTTTGC